GTTCTATTTAGGAAGTGGTTCCCTGTGCCAATGCATTCAAGTGTACTTCCCACTTTCTCTTCTATGAGGTTCAGTGTGACTGGCTTTATGTTGAGGTCTTTGATCCATTTGTACTTGAGTTTTGTGTATGGTGATAGATATGGGTCTATTTTCATTCTTCTACATGTTGATATCCAGTTATGCCTCATTGTGGAAGATGTTCTATGAGGTAGTGCTCACCAATCAACACAGAACTGGGATTCTGGACGCTTGGGCTCCAAGGGAAAATAGGAACTGAAAAGTTCCCCACAAGTGTGGCAGTGGAGGCAGGATGGAGGTGCAGGAACCTCCACAAAGAAAAGAATTTCAAGACAGCTTGAAACAGCTGGAGTCTTAAAAAGTTTTTTTGTTTGTTTGTTTTTTAAAGGCAACTGTGGTTACACAGAGAAATCTTATCTTTGAAAACCAACCAGCCAAACAAACAAAACACCCTGGCAGTGGTGACCCATACCTTTAATCCCAGCACTTGGGAGGCAAAGGCAGGCCAGCCTGGTCTACCGAGTAAGTTCCAAGGTTAGCCAGGGCTACATAGAGAAGCTTTGTCTTGAAAACAACAACCTCCTTCCCCGACAAAAAAAAAGGAAAACCCAAAATTACATATTTTTTAGAGATGGATTTTTAAGTACTAGAGGCAGTGGGGAAGAAAGTACAACATACTGAGAGCGTGGGCGTGAGCTCCTCAAAGGGAGACACAGTTGAGTGTTTGTAGCAGCTGCCATGCTGGTTTTGGTGGATAAGGACCTTAAATGATGTGCGGGATTGCTCTGGACCCCAAATGAGATCTTATCGGTGATTCCCACCTATGCACTGTATAGGATTAGGGCATACACACACACACACACACACACACACACACACACACACACACGGTCAACCTTAGTCACAAGGGCTGTAAGGGGAAGCTAAGATATTCTTTAAATTCATTTTTTTAAAGCATGTTTTCATATTCAACACTAGATGGCTACCTAGTGGCAAGAATACATTGCCAGCTGTGAGGGAGATGGGGCAAGTACCCAAAGGAAGTTCTTTACTCGCAACCATTATCACCTACCAGAGTAGGACTCAGCCATGAATAAATTTAAATGGATGCCTGAGTCTCAGTAGGTTACCCTGGTCGCAGAAAGGACCATAAACTAAAAATACTTGAGCACCACCTAAAAACAGACCATCCAAAGAAAATGCCTAACATTTCAACCACTGTAGATAGGAGCACCTGCCAGCACACTCTCACCAGGACACCCCTAGACAAATGTCAGCCAATCAGGGGCCCTGAACTTCAGAAACCCCTCACCCCCACCTTTACTACTATAAAAACCCAGTTCTAACTGAGCTTGGGGCTCTCCGGTTATTCCAATACGTTGGACATGCGGAGAGACTGAGTGTGCAAACTTGCATAAAATAAAGGCTCTTTGCTTTTACATACAGAGCTCGGTCTCCTTGTTGGCTTTTGCGGGGACTTTGCAGATTTGGGTATAATAGACTCTACAGGGTTTGTGGGTGAGGAAATGAAGATGTAGAAGCCTGGCATTTTCACCGCCAAGGGACAGGGACACACTCCCCTGTTCTCCTAGCTCTCACAGGGAAGAGGACTCTTGCTTCTCAGGTGGGTGGGGTGGAGAAGGAGTGGCTGAAGTGACTACCCGTGGAGCCCAGAGGCTGAGGAAACAGCCATTGCTGTCCCCTGGACCTGCTGGACGATTCTCCTCTTCTTCCTTGGCCATCCTCTCTCCCAGGGTGGTCCTCACCATGGAAGCTCTGTCTATGACTTCACCATTCCTTTCCCACGTGAAGATCCTCCAATTGGTTTTGATATGTGGCTTGGTCTCCTTGGCCACTGCCTGGAAGATGGACAGGAACATCCCGGCTCCTCATTCTTGGGCTTTCCTAGGATCTTGAGCACTTTAACATCAGCAGACCCAGCCCCCCTCTGCCACCCCCCATGACTGTACAGGATCTCACCATCACTGGGGCTGACTAACAGCTCAATGGCTCCCTGGAACTGCAGCTGTTGAAGAGATGGACAGGGGCCTTCTGGGCTTTTCTGTGGTACAGCTGGCTCAGCCCTGGACTTGGCTGGAGAGGACCCTACTTCAGGCTTGGCGGCAGGCTTAGGGATGCAGTGTCCTGATTGCTCCTTCACAGGAATGGCCTTCTTGGGACGGGGTCCAGTAGCCGAAGGACAGTGTGCTCAATGGGGTGTGTGACCCATTTCTGTTTAAATATGAAGAGATTCCTGCCAAGTTCAGATAAGGGGGTAGGATGGGACTAGTTAAAATATTCTTTCTAAAGATAAGGTCTTACTATATAGCACTGGCTGGCCTGGAACTTGCTATGCAGACCAAACTGGCCTCAGACTCCCAGAGATCTGCCTGCCTCTGCCTCCTGAGTGCTGGGATTAAAAGCATGGGCCAGTCCCAGCTTAAGCTATTCTTTTTAAAATTAATTACTTTCTGTATGTGTCCCTGTGTGAGTTTACATGAACCCTGTGTGTGAAGGAGCCCTCAGAGGCCAGAGAAAGCATTGGATCCCCTGAACTAGAGTTACAGGAGATTGTGAACCCCTGCATGAGTGCTGAGAACTGAACCCTGGTCCTCTGGAAGAGCAGCCAGTGCCCTTAATCTCTTAGCCATCTCTCCAGCCCCAAGGTATTCTTACTGTAAACAAAGGTTTGGAGTTGTTTTTGAGGTTCTCAAAAATATACCTGGGAGAGGAATGTAGCCGTGCTTTGTTAGGAATTTTTTCCTAACGCGAGCTCTCTGCTGACACAAAAATCCCAATCAAGCTAAATCACAACAAGCCAAATTAAAATATCCAGGTTTAATGGGATTCCTGCACTCTTGGGAACCAGGAGGCCGCAAATGCGACCACAGGGGAACAGGGGGAGAGGACCACGTGTTTCTCCTTTGGGAGCTCACATAAATACCCTGTGGGAGTGGTCCTGACCCGCCCCCTTGTACGTGTGACTTTATGAAATAACTTTTGGGCTTTCCTTATGCACGCTCTGTTAGTGAAGCCCAGGCGAGGACAGTCTTCGAGTCTTTCTCTTATTTGCTTGTGAGCTGCCTGACATGAGTGCTGGGGACCAAACTTGGGTCCTCTGAAAGAGAAGTACATGCTCTTAACCACTGAGCCGTTCTCCAGCCCACGGCTTGTTTTATTTATGCGTATGTGCACAACTGTGTCAGCGCCGCAGGGATAGCGGATCTCCTGGAGTTAGGCTTCTGAGCCACCAGCGTGGTGCTGGGGATCGAACTCTGGCTGTCGGCAAGAGCAGCAAGCTCTCCTAAGTGCTGGGCCATCCCAGCAGTCTTATTCTTTCCTGAGAGCTTCTCTCCCACTTCTATTCTTGTTTGTGAGTCAGAACCACTGTGTGTAGCCCTGGCTGGACTGGTCCTTTCTGTGTAGACTGGACTGACTAGGCTGGTCATCCTCTGGCCTGTGCCTTGCAACTCCTGGGCTTACCCCGGAGTCACTTTTCCCTTCACCAATGAGTTGATGCTCTGCCTTGTTCATTTTTTAAAAGAAGATTTATTTATTTATTATGTATACAATGTTCTGCTTGCATGTATGCCTGCAGGCCAGTAGAGGGCACCAGATCTCATTACAGGATGGCTGTGAGCCACCCTGTGGTTGCTGGGAATTGAACTGGGCAATCTTTGGAAGAACAGTGCTCTTAGCCACTGAGCTGTCTCTCTAGCCCCATCTGTCTTGTTTTTTGTTCTTTAATTCCAGAAGGAAGAAGGACCCTGCTTGGGGTAAAAACTGGTATTCCTAAACTTGGACTTGCCTTATAACTCCAGGTCTAGCTCTGGGTAATGGGAGGTAAGCCTAGTGCACAGATACCTTGCTTCATCCGGTCCACATCTTACCACCCTGAAACAAGTGGGGATCAGTGTGTGCAGAAATATTAAATCTTGATAATGCGCTGTTATCTCAGCCTTGGGGGGCAGTTACTTTTTGGTTCTTGTATCTATATTGCCTTTATAAAATGATGCATCTGACCCAAGAGCCATGGCTTACTGACTCTGGTTTGTATCTCATTATAGGTGAACTTGCAATGGAATTTTTCTTTTGCCTCCTCCTTCTCTCTCTCCTGCCTTCCTCCCTCCAGGTAGCCCAGGCTGACCTCCAACTGACCATGCAAGGAGAGGTCTGGTCTTGAACTTCTGATAGCTCCTAACGTTACTTCCTAAACACTGGGATCATAGTTGTGCCCCAGACTGAACAAGAAGCAAATTTATTATGTAGCACTAGCTGGCCCGATAATGTCTATGTAGCCCAGGCTAGACTCAAGTTCTTAACAATCCTGCTGCCACCTTGCCCAGTTTTGTGATGGCATTTTTAGAGCAAAGAAAATGCATGAGCCCATGCCATCTGTGGCCCAGGTGTAAGGTGTCATTCAACCACTAAATTTGTCTCAAAGGCAGGATAAGAATAAGGAATTGCACCTATTTTTTTAAATTTAAAAATACTGATTGCATTTACATTGTCTCAGAGGACAACTTGCAGGAGTTGTTTTTTTCCAACGATTTGGGTCCCAGGAAGAGCAGAATTCAGGTTCTTGGGCTTGGTTGGGGGCAGGCTCCTTCCCCAGCTGAGCCTTTTTGCTTCCATTGCCTTTAGACAGTGACTTTCCATTAATTGTGACTCACAGAAAGGGCTGAACTTTTTGAGTTTAGCTTTCCCCCTTTTTATCAAGCCCTCCCCGCTTTTAAGATAAATCACCTGACTTCGCCGAAAGCTGTGAAACACGCCCTTTGGCTGAAAGAGAGAATTAGGCAATCTCAGAATTCCCCATTTCTCGTCTCTGGAGAGCTCTGGATAGCGGGATCTCTCAGCTCCGGGAGACCGATGCAGTTCTTGTTCTGAAAGCAGAGGGCGCTCTAAGATCAAGGCTGCGTTACCCTGCCCTGGTGTGGTCTCCCAGCCCCCTCTGTTTTGGAACAGGGAATTTCGGACATGCACACTCCGTTAGGGAATCTTAGGAGCAGACAGAACAGGGAGGTCGGGCGGAGGTTCCTGCAGAGGCTGACTCCTCTGGAGCCGCAGGGTCTTCACAGCATGGCCAGTGGCAGGAGAGGAGACTGAGCCACGTGTTCCCATCAGCTCCGGAAGGTAACAACTTTAAAAGGCAAACCTTGAAGAGCAAGGCTTTGATGGAGGAACAGGAAAGGACAGGGAACCGTGTAGAGCAGGGCTGGGAGCAAAGGTGGAGGACTGGAAGGAACTCGGAACAAGGGTAGGCTATAGGCACTGCTTCTCATATGCTGAACCCCGTCCCAACACCGGCTTCATCTTCCCACATAGCAGTGCTTTCAGGGGTAAAGGCAATTTCTGAAAGACTTTTCTGGGAACTTGGGAAGACATCTTGCTTTTTAAAAAGGACGAAACAAACCAACTTCAGAAAATTAAAATAAGACATAGCCTCTTGTCAGCTGTCCCTTTCTCCCTGGTGACCCTGTCACAGCAGGGGCAATACTTTCCTTCTGATTAGCCTTCCCCCAAGGCCCCTAAGGAAGGTCCCTGACCCTATGGAAAGAAGCTTCCACCAGAGGCCACTGGCGCAGCTGCAGAAGCACCTGCAATAAGTATGTCAAAGAGGCTGGCTTCCACCGCAGGGGATGGCAACAGTCCCAGGTGGCCGGCCGTTCAGGATGGACAGACCTGGGTGGAAAATACAGAGCATCTGATGCAAGGGGCCAGGAGCTGGTGGAGAGCAACACAAAAGATAGGGAGAAGCTCCTCATCTGTTTGCAGAAGTATTGATAGATGGCTTGTGGCTGCTATGGGAGGTGGGGGAGACCCAGTGCTGGTCTAGGAAGTCAGTTGAAATCGCGCAGGGGAGGGTGTGAGAGAACAGGTCTCCTGTGGTGACAGTTACTGATGAGAACGTTATCTGTCTGGTATTCTTTCAAAGGTGACACTGAGCGCTGGGTGGCCCATCACCCCTAAAGCAGGTGCCTATATTTGTCAGGCAAAGACAGCCAGGCCAGCCATCCTTTCGCTCCAAGGTCAGAGGTCCAGAGACCCAGAGAGCCATGGGCAAATCACCGGAGACGTGGTAAGTGTCTACAGAAATGTGCACAGACTCCACCCTCACGTTCTTCTGCTCTTTCATGTTTTTGAGACAGGGCTCACTTTGTAGCCCAGGCTGGCATGGACCTCACCATCCTTTCTCTGCCCCCAGAGAGTGGGGCTTCCACACAGGCCTGTCACATGAGGCTTCCCATCTTCTCAAGACAGAGCTCAGATCTGAAGCCTGAGTTTGAACTTTTTATATATTTTTTCCAAGTCTATGCTATGGCACACCGGCTGCCTTTGCCCTTCCCCTTTGGTCTCCTGTGGACAGATGCCAGAGTTCTGCATGAAGCATTGGTACCTGCATTTCCTACTTCTCTTCCAGGTGCATTGTCTTGTTCTCTGTTTTGGCATCAGTTTCTGCTGAGCCTACCATGCATGGGGAGATCCTGTCCCCTAACTATCCTCAGGCGTACCCCAATGAGATCAAGAAAACGTGGGACATAGAAGTTCCAGAAGGGTTTGGGGTTCGCCTCTACTTCACACATCTGGACCTGGAGCTGTCAGAGAAGTGTGAATATGACTCAGTGCAGGTAATTCTACGAGCATATGAGGAAGAGATATGGATGGGTAGAGAGGGATGGGGGCACGGGAAGGGGCAGAGTGGTGTCAAGCTGTCCTATAGGTTGGGGGCATGGCTCAGTGGTAGAGTACATGCCAAGCATGAGCTTGATCCACAGCGCTGGGGGCGGCGGGTGTGTGTGTGTGAATGTGTGTGTGTTTTGGCGTGGAGATTGGGAATAACGGTGAACAATACGGTTCTAGTCTCTCTGTCCATTTTTACTTCTAAATTTGGCTGTTCTCTTAGATAATCTCAGGAGGTGTGGAGGAAGGGAGACTCTGTGGAAAGAGGACCAGCAAGAATGCCAACTCCCCCATTGTGGAAGAGTTTCAAATCCCGAACAATAGAGTCCAGGTGATCTTTAAGTCAGACTTCTCCAACGAAGAACGGTTCACTGGCTTTGCTGCGTATTACGCTGCCGTAGGTAAGACTTCACTCTCGGTATGTGACACACTGATCCAACTAATAGACGAGAAGCAGGGAAAATTCCACACACGGTATTAGGTGAAGATTCCGTTCTGACTTGTTTTGAGTCATGATTTCACTATGTGGCCCAGGCAGGCCACATTTCAAGCTCTCAACTCTCCCTTTCAGTGTACAGGTATGTGCCATCATGCCCTGGGCTGTTTATATCTTTAACAATCGTGAACTTGCCCTGGGGCTGTCCATGAATTGCCTTGGTGAAATTCAAGCACTTTATCACATGTTAGCGGTGGTAATGGGAATGGCAGATAGTGGGCAGTAATGGGGTGAGAACCACGGCGAAGTTTGTACTGTATCAGAAGCTTACTTACACCAACAGAATCTTCAGCTCAACCCGACAAGGTAGGCACCGTTATTTTCACATAACGATAAGGAGCTGGGCTTGTTGGTGCAGGTCTGTGATTCCGTACACTTGGGAGGCTGAGATGAACCACTGTGAGTGCAATGTTAGCATGGGCAACCTAGTACGATCCTGTCCTCCAAATTAATCCTCCAAATTAAAAGAGAGCTGCTGAGATGCTTGCCGTGTAAGCCCAGGTTTGAGCCCCAGTTCCATGCAAAGTAGGAGTAAACTCTGACCTTCATGTGAGTTCTGTGACATGCCTCCATCATGCACACACACATGCACATACATGTGCAATATAATAAATCATAAATGCAAATTTAAGCCTGGTGTGGTGGCGCACGCCCTTAATCCCAACATTCAGGAGGCAGAGGCAGGCGGATCTCTGTGAGTTCGAGGCCAACCTGGTCTACAGAGTGAGTTCCAGGACAGCCAGGGCTATCTGTAGAGAAACACCCTGTCTCTCATTTTTTTTAAAAGAAAAATGAAAAAGAGGGCTGGAAATTCTGGCATGGCAGCACACACCTGTAATTCCAATGCTAAGGAGGTAGAGGAGGTAGAGGCAGGAGGATCAGGAACTCAATGGCAGCTTGGGCTACAAATGATCATATATTTAAAAAAACATCAGAAAAAAGGGCTGGGGCTATAGCTCAGTGATAGAGTGCTTCCTTAGCCTCTGTAAGGCTCTTGGAAACCTCAGGACTGGAGAAAAAGTAGAAACTGAGAATGTTAATAACCTGCCAAGAACTGTGTAAGAATGACTATGGAGTACTCTGATGCACTCGAGTCTTCAAATCCTAGGTCCTTCTGCATCTATCTCCAGGTTAAAATGAAGTTAGAACAGATTTTACAGTAAGGCTGGCTTCCTATGCGGTGGCGAAGGCACTAACAGCCCTTCCCAGAGGACGCCACCATCATGATGCCACCGTCATGACGTCACCATCGTACTTACTTCAGTGTTGTCTCTGGCATGGATTTTTTTTTTTCCCAGACAAGAGTTTTTCTTGTGGCCCAGGCTGGCCTTGAATTCCTGATTCTATTGCTTCAGTCTCTGGGCTCTGGAGTCACAGCATGTGCCAACTGGGCAGGGTGTTGCATATTTTGTAGGCAAGAGAAGTCAGGGTTTCTCACAGAGCGAGCGTCTTCACAGAAGTATAAAGGCATGACATAGCTCTGAACCACACTTCAGAAAGGTAATCTAGAGTGAGACTGTCCTCATAGTGTTTACAGCTGTTAAAACATGGGGCTGGCAAGATGCTCAGGAGTTGAGGGCATTTGCTGTTTTTGTAGGGGGCCAGGCTTCAGTTCCCAGCACCCACATGGCTACCGAAAACTGTTGCTAACTCCGATTCCAGAGAGTCTAACACTCTCCTCTGACCTCAAAGGGCACCAGGCATGCATGTAGTGTAAAATACCACATGCAATAAATAAATAAATAAATAAAAATAAATATTTAAAAGTTAAAATGTTTTAAATTTTTTATTATTTTTAAATATTTAATTTTTAAATTTAATGTGTGTAGGTGTTTTCTTGCTTGGATGCACACTGCATGCAGTGTCTCAACAGTTCAGCAGAAGGTGTTGGACTCCTTGGACCGGAGTTACAGACAGTTGTGAGCTGCCTTCTGGGTGCTGGGAATTGAACCCAGGTCCTCTGGAAGAGCAGCCACTGCTCTTAACACTGAGCCACATGTCTGCTCCCTCCCAACTCCTTCTCATTAACATGTGCTAGCTATTCGTCATAATGAGCTTCATTCTGGTATTTTCATACTCGTTTGTCCGAGCTTGCCCTCTTTCCCCTCTCTCGTCCCCTCTACTGATTCCTTTTTCTCCCATCTTCTGCTTGTGTGTCTTTTTTATGTCTAGGTGAGTTTCATTAGGGCTGCACAAGAACTTGTCGTGGGGTTACTTATGGGAGCGTGGGCACTTGACCCGTGGCTACACCACTGAAGAAAATGCCTCTTTCCTCCAGCAATGAATTAGTTGCCTACCTATCCTCAAGGAGGGTGGGGCCTTAAGAGTCCCTCCCCACTCCATGACAGGATATTGACAGCACAGTTTTGTGCAGGTCATAACAGCTGCAGTGAGTCTGAGAGGGAAGGGCCCTGTCATGCCCTGAAGACACTATCCATCCCTTCCTCTGGCCCTTATCTTTCTGCCCCTCTTCTGTGATGCTTTCTTAGCATTAAAGTCTCCCTCCCTCCCTCCCTCCCTCCCTCCCTCCCTCTCTCTCTCCTTTCCTTCTTTCCCTCCTCTCTCTTTTTCTTTGAGAAATGGTTTTACACTGTCGCCCAGGCTGGCCTTGAGGTCACAGTCTTCTGTTTTAGCCATCTGAATACTGGTGTTACAAGCATGAGCCACCATGCCTGGGGCTTTGAGGATATTTAATCAGTACGACTTTTCTGTTTTTCCTCATCCTTACAGAGCTGGGCTTAACAACATTCTTCCTTTTAGATGTTGGTCCTTGACCTTGAATTTTCTCTTCTCTTTGCAGATGTCAATGAATGCACAGATTTTACAGATGTCCCTTGCAGCCACTTCTGCAATAACTTTATTGGTGGCTACTTCTGCTCTTGTCCCCCAGAATACTTCCTGTATGAAGACATGCGGAATTGCGGGGGTGAGCTTGGCATCAAGAGGTCTTCATGTTCCCTAGGATTTAGAGTGGGTTGAGGGCTTAGTCTGTCCTTCCACTTTGATTAGGCTTTCCCTTCCAATGGCACCTGTTTTTAGCTGTCCATAAACCGAGTGGGAGCCTCAGGGGTGGGGGTGCGGGGAGAAGATGAGGTGTCTTAGCTTTCCACTGCTGTGGAAGGTGAGATAAATAACGGGATGGGATGTTTATTTTGGTGCACGGTTCTAGCAGTTTCAGTCCCTGGTCAGTCGGACCTGTTGTTTTGGTGTCCGTGGTGTGGCAGAGCACCATGTAAGGGAGACAGACAGCTGGTAGTGTAAAGTGACTCACCTCAGGGCAGCTGGGAAGCGGAGAGGAAGGGCAGGGATACCAGTATCCCTTTCAAGGGCCAGAACCCAGTGACCTAACTTCCTCCTATTAGGCCCTACCTCCTGAAGACTCCATCATCTCCTAATAGTGTCACGGCCAGTGCGAGCCCATAGCATGTGCCACTCTGCGAGGTATTTAAGGTCCAAACCCCAGCACAAGGCTTCAGGGTAAAGTTAGCTAAATGGGAAAGAGATAGATGACTGTAAAGAAACTGTTGGAGACTCTAGAAAGTTCTGTCACAAGCCAAGTGACACTGCACAGGCATTGGCTAGCTCTCCTCATAAGCCCTGTGGGTCCTCGCTGCTCCGTGGAGGCTTCACTGGGGGGGGGGGGGCGACTCTGGGGACTCTGGGCTTAGGCTTATGACAAGAGGACTAGAAGAGGGTGGGACTTCTTGTTTGTCCCTATATTTGATTGGTCCTTTCTCCTTTTTTTTTTCTCCTGTAGTCAATTGTAGTGGGAATGTATTCACTGATCTGACTGGGGAGATCACAAGTCCCAATTATCCCAATTCATACCCGGAGAACTCAAGGTGTGACTACCAGATTCGGTTGGAGAAAGGGTTCCGAGTGGTGGTGACCATCCGGAGGGAAGATTTTGATGTGGAGCCAGCTGACTCAGAGGGGAACTGCCAGGACAGTTTAGTTGTGCGTAGTAGATGATGAATTTGGCTCCCACCCCAACTCATTAGATTGCCGAGACTTCTCATGCAGCCTCCTTCTCTGTGGTTCTGGCCTTCACCTGTTAGGCAAACACCCTACCATAGGCCTTCGTTCACCTCTTCCTCTCCCTTTCTTCCTTACCCTGCTCCTCCCTTAAGGCAAGTTTGTTTTTGTTTTTTTGAGACAAGATTTCTCTGTGTAGCCCCAGCTTTCTTGGAACTTACCCTGTAGACCAGGCTGGCTTTGAGCTCAGAGATCCACCTGCCTCTGTCTCCTGAGTGCTGGGATCAAAGGTGTGCGCTACCATCTCCCAGTTTAAGGCAGAGTTTTATGTGGCCCAGGTTTGCCTCAAAATTCTCCCACCCCAGCCTCTTGAGTGCTAGGATTACAGATGTTAGCCATCACACCTAGTGAGAGACTCTCTCGAATGCTCAGATTACAGATGTTAGCCAGCACACCTAGTGAGAGATTCCCGTGAGTGCTAGGATTATAGATGTTACCCAGCACACCTAGTGAGAGGTTCCTGTGAGTGCCAGGATTACAGATGTTAGACAGCACACCTAGTGAGAGATTCTTTTGAGTGCCAGGATTACAGATGTTAGCCAGCACACCTAATGTGAGATTTCTTCTTCTTTTCATTTCTTTCTCCCTCTCTCCCCCTTATTCCTTCCTGAACCTTTGACCTCACGCATGCTAGACAAGTGCTCTACTTTCGAGTTCCATTTGCAGCCCTTTCTGTATTTTCTCCCTAGTCTTTATTTTGGCACAGATTCTCATTAAATTGACCGATTTGGCCTTAACTTATAACTCTCTTGTCTTTTCCAGCTAGCTGTGATCACAGGCCTGTGCCATCAGGTCCAGCTTTTGGGATTAAAATAATCTTTCCTCTTGTGAATCTTCTTGCTCATTTGCCTATTTCTGATTTTATACTGTGCCAATCATTTAATTTTCACACCCCCATTCAATTTCTTCCTTTAGATTTTTCTCTCTTCTGATTTTATTACATTGTTTCCTTTCAGTTTGATGCAAAGAATCAACAATTTGGTCCTTACTGTGGCAATGGATTCCCTGGGCCACTAACCATTGAAACCCAGAGCAATACTCTTGATATTGTCTTTCAAACTGACCTAACAGGGCAAAGGAAGGGCTGGAAACTTCGTTACCATGGAGACCGTGAGTAGCTAAAAGGGCCTTTTTGATTGGTGATACTAAATAAATTCTTTGGACGTGTAGAATCAAAACAAATCGATTGTTGTCTGATTAGTAACCTTTAATGAGTCTTGAAAACACAGACAATGGGGAGTGGGTAGCTAATTAGTGGCGTCATATTCATTTACACCTCTGCCATATTGGAATGGTAGACATTAGAATTGAGGACCGCGGAAGATGTTAGAAAGTATGAAAATGGGATGGGAGATGGGAGACAGGGGAGAGCATTTGCAGGGCAGGTATGAGCTCTGAGCTTTCATCCTTGTACCACAGAAAAATCTAGGCATAACCATGTGTGTTTGTAACCGCTGTGTTTGGGAGGGGATGGGCAGAGAGAGAGGAATCACTGGGTTTTGGTGGCCAGCTAGCCTAGGCAGAAATGGCAAGCTCCAGCTACAGTGAGATTCCCCCATCACAAGAGGGTAAGGCTGATAGAGCAGGCACCCAGTGTCCTCCTGGCCTCTGCATTGGTACGCCAGCCCCTCTAAAGAGTGGGACTGTTTGAGAACAGTATTACACAGCTATAATTACAGCACTGGAGGGGTAGAGGCAGGGGGATTACTACAAGTCTGAGACCAGCCTGGTTACATAGCAGGTTCCAGTCTAGCCTAGGGTATACAAAGAGAGAGAGGGAGAGAGAGGGAAGAGAGAGAAAGAGAGAGACCCCAACCCTGTCTCAGAAAAGTGGGGATTATGTAACATAGCACAGTTTCCAACCATTTAGTAAAATCTCATTTCTGTCCTCCTCAAGCAATCCCTTGTCCCAGAGAAATCACTGCCGATTCTATTTGGGAGCCTGAAAAGGCAAAATACGTGTTTAAAGATGTGGTGAAGATATCCTGCACGGAAGGGTTTGAGGTTGTGGAGGTAAAGTACCATTGAGGCTTCTCTCTGGTCTCTGGGTCCAGATCAGACATCTGGGTGCTGGAGGCTGTCGCGCCAGATCAGGATAGTAACACTCAACCATAGAAGGAACGGCTCAAGATTGTCCGTCCTTCTGGTGAGGTCTGGGTGTCCATCCTTCCAATGAGGTCTGGAGCTCCGGGGCCATCTTGCCCTCTCCACCCTCAATCTTCCTCAGGAAGGGAGCTGAAATGCTGGGGCAGGGCTCTCTTCCAGCCCCAGCTCCCGGGTGCTCAGAGTTATTCTTCTAAAGATGTCCCAAGCCTCTTTTGATGAGGACTTCTCATTGATTGAAGGCCTGAGATCAACTGAGTTATTGGATTTGATTTTCCATATGCTTTTCTGAATTAATGTTGACATCTGTTTTTCTCCAGGGAAACGTTGGCTCAACGTTCTTCTATTCTACTTGTCAAAGCAATGGGCAGTGGAGCAATTCTGGACTACAATGCCAGCGTAGGTGTTCCTTCAAGTGGTGCTCCCCTTGCCCTTCCCGAAGGGAACGGGATAATCGACATATCAGAATTCAAATGCATGGTTTCCTTTTAGGCTTGTGAGAGAATGGCATGTGTGTGTGTTTTTTTTTTAACCCTATAATGGAGGATTGTCTAGCTCTTGTCTAGTCCTAGGCCACGTAGACTAATGTGTTTCTTCTAAAGAAAGGGGCAATGGAGTATGGAGCTGAGAACTCTAAGGGAGTATATTCTGGGCTCTCACAGGTGCCTCTGCCGACCAGAGAAATAGGTTCCTCCTGGCCTCTTTCAAGGGCCATCTGGATTGGCAGGTCTCAGTGGGCTGAAGAACTGGGTTAGAGAAGATGCCACAAAAGAGCTGGTGTTGGAAGATTCATCATGGGTGTGGTTATGGACGTGGCTGAGGAAGAGTGAGGAGCGAATGGGGCCCTAACTCTTCCTGGGAGAAAATGACTGTCCTGACTGTCCATTTCCCTGCTTCTTGTAGCTGTGGACTGTGGTCTTCCAGAACCCATTCAGAATGGTAAAGTTGACGATCCAGAAGATACTCTATTTGGTTCTGTCATTCACTACTCGTGTGAGGAGCCGCATTATTACATGGAACACAATGAACATGGCGGTAGGTTTCTTCTAGCGGAAGAAGAGAGAGGGGGAGGAGCGTGAGTGAGGTGGAGGGGTGAATGCCATGTCTCTCTGGTTGGAGAGAATGTATAGAGAAGTGAGAAAGAGTAGACACTGTCATCCTTTTGGCTTAGCCTAAGGACACAGTTGGCTTGTGGGATAGGGTATGTTTTCAGGGATCATTGAAGGGGGATCATAGAGGTCACTGGCTTAGTGTCACAGCTGCAGCAGGAATTCCTTTGCAGCATCCACTTCACGTGGTTATCTGACTTTGGACCAGTTATTTCATGTAGAATTTGCAGGGCAGGCATGGTGATGGAGGTGTGTAATCCTAGCCCTTGCAAGGTAGCAGTTGTTCCAGGCGAGCCTGGGCTATCCTCCTCCCGCTCCCCACCCCCACTCCCATTCATTGTTTTTGAAACGGAGTTTCGCATAGCCCAGGGTGGCTTTACCTTTTCCGTGGAGCAGAGGCTGGCCTGGACCTTCCTGCTTCCACCTCTTAAGTGCCAGTGCCACCACTCCTGGGCAAAGGTTCTTTTCTAGCTGATTGGATATGGTTCTCCCTTCAATGCCCAGAGAGTCTTTGTATAAATGGAGGCTGCAGGAGAGATGTGCCGAGTGTGACCTGTGTTCCTTGTACTATTCCAGGGGAGTATCGCTGCGCTGCTAACGGGAGCTGGGTGAATGATGAGCTGGGTATAGAGCTGCCCAAATGTGTTCCAGGTAATCGGGCTGCCGCGTGGGTAGAGGCCGTAGATGTCCATGGGGGGAGCAGGTACCACGTGGAAATAGCTAGGACTTAATCCTGGCACCCCAGAGTGGAGTATGGTGGTAACTCTGGGTTCTGGAGTTCCTTCATCTGTATCAACTCAGGCTGACTTGAAGGGAAATAAGAAAGTCTTCCAGCATCAACAGTCGGTGTCATATTAGGCATTAGGGAACTACAGATCAAACCACATTAGCAGAGTGGGGTGCTGGGCTGTGTACCCGGAATCCTAGCACTCTGGATGCTGAGATAGGATGGTGAGATCAGTCTAGGCTACACAGTGAGACCCCTCCCTCCACACCCTCTAGATAAGAGCTGCATCTGAGCGCGGTGTGGAGGTAGAAAGCCTGCTTCCAGTCTGGGTGAAGTTAAAGTTTCCCAGCATGACCTTCTAGCTGGGTCTCTGGCCTCGCGGGCCAAGCCTGGGCGTGAAGTGTGCCTCAGAGAGGCTGTGAGTCAAACTGTGGAGAGTGGGAAGTGCTAGCTCGTTTGGTTCAGTTGTTCACATAAGCCTCCTGTTGAGCCAATCTCGACCATAAACCTGCTTGGCACTGCCAAAGGAGATGTTCAGGGGAGGTTAGGTGTCTTAGTTAGGGTGTCTATGGCTGTGAAGAGACACCATGACCACAGCAACTCTTATAAAGGAAAAACATTTAACTGGGGCTGGCTTACAGTTCAGAGGTCTAGCCCATTATCACCATGGTGGGCCATGATGGCATGCTAGCAGCCATGGTGCTGGAGAAGAAGCTGAGAGTTCTACATCCTGATCCACACCAACAGGAAGAATTTGCACATAGGAGACCTCAAAGCCTGTCCCCACAGTGACACACTTCCTCCAACAAGGCCACGCCTACTTCAACAAGGCTAGACCTCCTAACAGTGCCACTCCCTATAAGCTTCTGGGGGCCAATGACATTCAAAGTAGCATTCTAGGATAAGTCCAATGTGGAGGTAGTTGAGCAACTGACATCAAGGAAGACATGCTGGAGAATTCGGCCACCACTGGGTACAGTAGTTGGGTGGCTGACTTTTCTAGAGGCTAGCCTCACCTTCTGCACCTCCCCGTCTTGTTCTTATTCCCATCCAGTCTGTGGAGTACCCACTAAGCCCTTTAAAACCTATCAGAGGATCTTCGGAGGATCCCCTGCGGAGATTGAGAATTTTCCCTGGCAAGTCTTCTTTGAGTACCCACGGGCTGGTGGGGCTCTCATTGATGAGTATTGGGTGCTGACGGCGGCCCACGTCGTGGAGGGAAATTCCGACCCATCGATGTACGTGGGGTCCACGTCTGTGAGAATGGAACATCTGAACAATGTCCAGAAACTCACCTCCGAACGTGTGTTTATTCATCCGGACTGGAAACTGGGGGATGACCTAAGCACACGGACAAACTTTGACAATGACATCGCATTGGTGCGACTGAAAGACCCCGTGAAAATGGGGCCCACCGTCTCTCCCATCTGCCTGCCGGGCACCTCCCCAGAGTATGATCTCTCCGAGGGGGACCTGGGGCTGATTTCAGGGTGGGGCCGAACAGAGAGGAGAAATATTGTTCTCAACCTCAAAGGGGCAAAGTTACCCGTCACCTCTTTAGAGAAGTGCCAGCGGGTGAAAGAGGAGAACCCCAGAGTGAGGGCAGAGGACTATGTCTTCACCAGCAACATGATCTGTGCTGGAGAGAAGGGCGTTGACAGCTGCCAGGGGGACAGCGGCGGGGCTTTTGCATTGCGGGTCCCCAATGTACAGGACCCCAAATTCTATGTGGCAGGCCTGGTGTCCTGGGGGAAGAAGTGTGGGACCTATGGGATCTACACGAAGGTAAAGAACTACATGGACTGGATACTGGAAACGATGCAGGAGAATAGTGTCCCCGGTCAAGACTAACCCGCGAACACCGCCAGTCCCTCCAAGGCACCGCAAGCTCATTGCTCTCAGATCCGCATGACAGTACCGTTCTCTCACAACGATGGAGAGAAGACGCCGGAGTCCGATTAGCACTGGACTTGATTGTCCAGATTGTTCAGTGCTAATCGTACTCCTGCGTCATCCTCCCGGGTGGAGGGAGGGTCTGGTCACAGGCTACTGCTTCAGTTGTGAGTTCCTGTCTGCTACCGGTAACAGCAAGGCAGAGGCCCTTCTGTCTTGCGCCTTTCCACAAGGATAGCTTAACTTTTCTTCCCTTTCTTTTACCTGCTTGAGATTACATTTATAGCCCTTGGAGCCCTTTATTTACTTACAATAAAGCATGTTTCTAATCTGGTTCTGGCTGACTTCAGGGCTGCAGAAGGAGAAGGAAATGGCAGGGCATCCTGTCATGGAACTCAGGTATCAACCGCTCATCTTTGACCATCATGCAGACAGGGAATTCAGCTTTTCTTCTTTCCAGCTGAGATTTTCTGAATACCGTGAATTTAGAATTGACTTTTTAGTTTTCCTTTGTGAGTTGTCCCAATATGTCTCCCAGAAATTAATTTTCTTATAATATTCCCTTTTATCATGCAATGTAATGACAGAAAAAAAAAAGAAAGCCATCGAACATTCTTGCTCTGCTGTTTTTGGTAGTTTTGGTCAATTTGTCAGGTAGGTGGCAAACTGGACTGAACTCTGTGACAAAATGTGACAGCCAAAAGTTCAGAGAGAGCTTCTCTGACTCTCTCTAGGGAAGAAAGCTGGAAACAAAAAGAAATCTCCACCCCAAGGATGTCATGATGACAAAGGACCGTCGAATAAGGGTTTTGTGTGAGATCTCGGGATGTAGTCTACACCAAATTAGAACTCACTATGTGACTGGAACTTACTGCTCCCTTGCCTCAGTCTCCCAGGATTACAGGTCTGTGCCAGGACATCGAGTATGTATTGCTTACCTGCTGTGCTGAGCGTCACATCCCAAGGCCTCACAGGCTAGGCATGTGCTCTGCCGCTGGGGTATGAGATACACTCCAGCTCTGAAACACAGAATTAAAAAAAATAGGGCAGCAGTTTTCAATCCGTGGGTCGTGACAAAACACATTTCTGGTGGACTTAGGAACCCCCAGTCATACTTGTATTTTCATTTCATTACACTCGTAACTGTAATCTTGCTACTGAGTGGTGTCTCACTCAGTTCCTAAGACCATCCGATGATCTCAACCCACAGGTTGGGAGCTGCTGTGATAGGGTCTTCTATAGCCCAGGCTGGCCTCAAACGAGCTACATAGCGAAGGATGGCCTTGAACTTCCGGTCCTCCTGCCTCCACTTTCTGGGGTTACCAGTGTGCATTTCCAGGCCTGGTTTATGCTGTGCTGAGGTTTGAACTCAAGGCTTCATGAATGCTAGGTCAACACTCTGCCGACTGAGCTATACCCCCAGCAGAAATGCAGCACTTTAAAAGCTGAAAACAGGGGTTCTGTCCTGTTTTCATGAGGTTTAAGGATGGAGAATGAGAGTCCAGGGCTGGAGAGCACACGTTTGACAAAATCTGAGTTCCAGCCCCAGATCTGTGGAAGGCAAGAACTGACTTCTCAACATTGTACTCTGACCTCCACACGCAGTGTGCATGGGTAACCAACTTCACACACACACACACACACACACACACACACTCATATTCACACACATAATAATAAATGGGGAAAGGGAGCTGGATATTATGATGATGTGTGCCTTATGTCCCTGCACTTGGGAAGGCAGAGGCAGGTGTGTCTCTGGGAATTTGTGGTCAACCTGGTCCACATATCAAATTCCAGGCCAACCAGAACTACATAGTGAGATCCTGTCTCAAAACAAAATAGAAACAACAGTAATTGAAAAAAATTTAGAAGAAGGGCCTGTGAGATGGCGAGGTGGGTAAAGGCACTTGCCACGCCTGGCAACCTGAGTTTGATCCCTAAGACCCACTGATGGAAAGAGAAGACCACCTCCCACAAGTTGTCCTCTGACTTCCATGTGAGAGCCCTGGCATGTACATGCAAGAACTCAGCTACACACGCACGCACGGACGCACGCACGCACACAGGCACACATGCACGCATGCAGGCATGCTTGCACACAATTAAAATAATACTATGAACGGAGGTTTACCTCAGCAATATTATGCTGGCTTAGCATGCACAGGGCTCTGAGTTCAATCCCCAGCCCCACAGAAACAGAAACTAAAAGTCAAACAACAAGAATAATCTGGGGGTGGGGTAGGGCCTTGGCCTCTCTGCTGTGAGAGGTGGCTTTCAGACCAGTTTGCCAGAGTGAGCAGGAGTGTGTTTAGTTTATCAAGAAGGGACTCTGATCTTGCAGAAAGAAAAACAGTTAAGTTCAAAAGTTCACTTAGCCTGAAGAGTAAACACATCACCCCCTAACCAGAGCACAAAGCAGACTGCTGGGCCTGGAGGCCTGTTAACCCCAGCTACTCTGGGAGCTGAAGTAGGATTTTGAGCACAGGCAGGCTTGCAGAGTGAGTTCAAAGCCAGCTTGTGATGAAGACTTAGACTAACGTGTTGTGTGTGTGTATGTCTCACGCCTTTAATCCCAGCTCTTGGGAGGCAGAGGCAGTCAGATCTCCCTGAGTTCAAGGCCAACCTGGTCTACACAGCAAGTTCCAGGACAGCCAGAGAAGCCCTGTCTTGAGAAGCTAAAGGGACAAAAAAAAAAAAAAAAAAAAAAAAAGGAAAAAAAAAGTTAGAGCTTGTCTCACAAAGTAAATCAGATCACAACAAACAAACAACAAATCCCCGAGAAACAGGGCTGGAGAGATGGCTCAGAGGTTAAGAGCCATGGCTGCTCTTCCAAGGATCAGGGTTCAACTCCCAGCACCCACATGGTGGCTCACAACTGTCTATAATTCCTGTTCCAGGGGATCTGATGACCTCTTCTGTCTTTCTCCAGCATCAGGCTCACACATGATGCACAGATAGACATACAGACAAAACATGTATACATATAAAATAAATAAAACTGAAATAAAAACTCCAAAAATGTGTGTGACAGCTTCTTTTTTGATATTTGAGAAAAGATATCCTTCTTTTTTGATATTTGAGAAAAGAACAAAAAATGAGCTCTAACTGATACTATTTTGAGAGGTCTAAACTTCCTCCATTTCACAAGTAGGGTCTAAGTTTCAGTTTCTTAAATAAAGGGCTGTTAACCAAACACCCCTGACAACAGGGATGAGGGGGAGAGAAGGAACAAGGCCTGAGTCAGCCCTACAAAGTCTCAAGGACAGTCCTGCAACCTCCTTGGAACTCACTCAAGTATGTCCAAAGATAAAACCTCAGCCAGTTACGAGTATACTAATGTAACTGCTGATGGCTGAACCAATTGTGTTTGAGATGACCTACCATCCCCGAAATTCCCCTGGCGGTGTTTAAAAGGAGCCTGCGTGCTCCTCCCTGGGTCGACCCCGCACACGTGCTGGAAGTTTCTGTAGAATAAAGGCTCTTCGTCTTTGCATCTGCTTGAGTCTGGGGTCTTCAGCATTTCCTCGGCTCCTTACATTTTTTATTCTTATTTTTTTTTTTTTGAGACAGAGTCTCCTGTAGTCTAGGATGGCGTCTGACTTCCTATATAGCCGAGGACACTGGGATTCTGGCCCTCTTACCTCAGCCTCCCAGGTGATGGGCTTAGAGGTGTGTATCACCACACCTGGAGTTAGAACTGACAAGTTCACAGGAAAAGTTGTCGCGCTTCTAGTGACGAACTCCAGCGTGGGCTTCTAACCCTTGCTCCTGGGCTGAGGTGCCTGAGAGAGAATTCCCTCCTTGCTGGCAGGAGTGGAAGTGTGGGCTTATTGCCCCAGCCACTAGGGAGGCTGGGGTAGAAGGATCCCAAGTTCAAGGCCAACCTGGGCTACAGCCTAGCTAGGTTCAAGTCCAGCCCAGGCAACTAAGTGAGATCATATCAAAATAAAAGCCAAATAAAAGGCTTCCAGGAAGAGGGCAGACACATGGTCATACGGTCTGAATACCTGAGTTCAATCCCTAGGATATAAAAGATCAGTTACTCCTGTTAACCATTCTCTGCTTTTGTAGCAGTTTAACTGCAACTGGCTTCCATAATCTCATATGGAGTGGCAAGATATTTTGGAGTATGTGTTGGGGACTGTGGACCCCCAGACCTTGAATTTCCTGTGATTCCCAAGCCTGCCGGAGTAAACAACTTGTTTTCCTATGTTTGCAGCTTTTCTGAGCAAACAACTTGTTTTGCAGCTGCTCTGAGCATGAGACCTTCAGGAGTTCCTGTTGGCAGGGGAGTGGTTTCTGGTGGGCTTGCAGCTGAGATTTAGGGCGTGGAAGGAGACCCTACATAAGCTGCCCTGGAATACAATAAGGGGGCATTCTTGGTGTTACCTGTGTCTCTGTGTGTGCTTCAATCTCCAGCCCCTTGCCTGACTCGCGAACCTTACCGTAGTGCATAGAGCAGGAGCTACAAGTATGGCCTTGTTGGAGGAAGTGTGTTACTGAAGGGGTGGACTTTGAGGTTTCCTTCTGTGGAATAATCCTTCTATGCACTGTGAAAATGTGTTGCTTTTATTACTAATAAAAAGCTGATTGGTCAATAGCTAGGCAGGATGTTTGGGGCAGAAGGGATGCTGGGAAGAAGGGCATCCTTCTTTGCAGGATAGACTCAGAAGAAGCAACATGAGGAGCTCATAGATGAAGTGAATGAGCCTTGGAACAGCACATAGAGGAATATAAGTGGGTTAATTTAAGTTGTAAGAGCTGTATGGAGACAAGCCTAAGTTCTCGGTGGAAGATTTACAATTAATAATAAGTCTCTATGTGGTTATTTGGGGGAATCGGCTGGCAGGACACAAAAATTCCACCTACAAATGGCATTCCAGCATGGGGCATGGCCACACACATCCATATAAAATCTAAAAAAGCTTAGGAAAAGATTCCAAACACACAAAAATGGGACCAAATGCAGCTTCCTAGTCTCATGTCCCTCATGCTCAGCTGTCCCCTGTGGGCTTGAGATGCCAGAATAAGTGAGTGCTCCAGAGTGAGTGAGTGCTCCAGAGTGAGTGAGTGCTCCAGAGTGAGTGAGTGCTCCAGAGTGAGTGAGTGCTCCAGAGCGAATTCCTCCAGAGTGAGTGAGCGCCTCCAGAGTGAATTCCTCCAGAGTGAGTGAGTGCTCCAGAGTGAGTTCCTCCAGAGTGAGCCCCTCCAGAGTGAGCCCTGCCAGCATGCCATGAACCTAGCCACATGCTGGGTTTAAGTTTGGCTCATGCAGACAGAGAAGATTACAGATATGCAGTAAAGTAAAGAGAGATCCAGATAGAAAAAAC